CCGAATTTTAGCATTCCAAGTCCGTTAATTTCCCTCTGACCCGCCGGAAAGCATTAAAGTGATATTCACGGGAAGCTACGTAACTAATGTCCGTTTTTAATTATAGATATTACTTAATTATAATATTTTTTGGTCTATTTTGAACAGCCGCGTTCCAAAGTACATTCTGTAAATTATTATTTGTTACGCATAAAACATTATGGAATGCTAAAAATTTAAGTTATTACAAAATTATAGAACATTTTAAATAAATAGTGTTGACAAAGAAGTGATTAACAATGATGCGACGAGATTAATCGATAGAAGACCATTATTGTTCATGTTTTCTTTTGATTAAAATTAGGCCTCAGGAGACGTTTCAAGTACTTTGGTTTGTTTGTTTGTTTTTGAATTTCGCGCAAAACTCCACGAGGTCTATCTGCGCTAGCCATCCCTAATTTAGCAGTGTGAGACTAGAGGGAAAGCAGCTAATCATCATCACCCACAGCCAACTCTTGGGCTACTCTTTTACCAACGAATAGTGGGATTGACCGTCAAATTATAACGACCCCACGGCTGAAAGGACGAGCATGTTTGGTGGGACGAGGATTCGAACCCGCGACCTTCAGATTGCGAGTGAAGCGCCCTAACCACCTGGCCATGACGAGCCCAGGTACTTTGGTACACACACAATACGTACATACAGCCACCATCTATATCTTAAATATTTGTAATTGTGCCTGGAATTTCTTATTCCGATCCCACGTTGCTTCAAAACGCCACTGATTCTTTGCTCCATTTTCTATATATTTAATAACTGCATGCTGACATCTAAGCCAAACAGTTTTCAAAAACAACTTTAAAAACGGGTATACCTTGCAGATGTGTTATGAAAAAGTCAATTAATTCAACTAATTTTTCCAGCAGTATAGCAAACATTGTAGGAATAAACCAGTTACTATGGAGATAAGACTGCACTGGGGTGAGGCATTAACACCTTTGATGGGTTTGCTACACTATAATGTCAGAGAAAATTAATTCCAATAACGTTATGGCGAGCTTGTATTGATTAAACCATAATTAAAGTGAACGTATGTTGTTGAAGTCTCGTGGGTCGATATTTTAGGTGTTTATTTATGCATTCTGCGAGGGAGAATTGCACGAAGAGAATTTAAAGTGAAGAAAGTGAAACAAATAAATGAAAAGTAAATTATATAATATCTCGTGAGTCACTTTTATTGATAATGCTAAGAAAATCGTCTCGTTTCACGTAAAATGTATTCGATTTATCTGTATTTTTTCTGTTGGTTCTTAAACTTTTTTATTGAAATGTTTTCTTTCTTTTGATCCGCTCGGTGACTCAGTGGTAAGTCTAAAAGTTTATAACACTAAAAATAGGATTCCGATACCCGCAGCAGTCAGAGCACAAATAGTTTATTGTGTGGCTCTGCGCTTAGCATCAAAACAAATCAATTTTTCTACTAGAAGCAACCAGACATAAACTAGAATTTATTGTATCACTTGACGTACTTTTTCTTGCATGTGTTTTCTTCTTCTTCTTTATACCTTATGAATATGATAGATATAATGTATTTATTTCATTAGAAAAAGAATAATTTTCATATCAGAGTTTCATTCAAGTCAGAACAAGCTATGGGCTAATAGCCAGGTTTTATGCGCATGTACTTCACAATGAAGAGTTGTGATGCTTATAAAATATTATTAAACTTCTCTCAGGATTGGAATTATAAGTAACAAGACTACTTACTATCGAAAATTGTATTTTAAATCCACATCCGCTATACACCTATAATTACACCAATAAATTTGGAGACGATACTTTTTAAGAATTCCAGTAGCTTCTGTACCACAAGGTGTGAAAATTTGGCGCTCCAATCAGAAAATATTAATACAAGTAGTTAACAAAGTCTGCAGTTTACAGTTAACATCCGATATAATTTAACTATGGTGATTATATTCATAAAGTAAATACTACGAGAAACGATTCAATACGTTACAGTTAGAATATATCTCCTACTGAAAATTCTCAAAATCAGCTTTATGTTGCACACGGATAGTGATTTCATTTATATTTTAGTAACATTGATATATGCGCCTGGTTATGAAACAGCTATGGTTGCCACGCCCCGCTCGCGTACCTGTTCCTACCAGAATTCGATACCCTGTCCATAAACAACCATTAAGAAAGCAATATCATAAAACCTCTATAGAATATCACAAATCTTTAAAATATATTAAAGGTTTTACCCACTGGCTACTCCTGTTAAGATGTTATTTAACTACTCAAACTTCTCCACCACCCCTCCTCAACCCAACCAGAGAAGTCCATAACAATTTTACACAGCTTGAATAAAATTTGCTTGCACAGTTTTTTATTGTGTCATAGGCTCAATATCTGGTTTAAAATTGTCTATGCATGTCAGCCACAGAAGGAAGGTAATGAACAAGCTACGTTGTTGGATGTATTATTGTTGGTATTTTCTTTTGAACAAGCATTTTTGTGTCCCATTTAGGTTTGAAAATTTAGGTTTGAACTATGATTATCATTATATTATGTTCAAATAGAAAAAGATTACAACGGCAATGGGAAATTGAGGAATAATCAGACTCAAAACCACGACAGGAAGAAAGTTGTATTACTACACTCAGCTAACGTTTAACAAAATAGTTATTAGTTCAAGCGAGGGTCGTTAAAGTTCGACATAGTAACGTTACGCCTATTTCCTACAATCTAACTTTCTCTCAGAGGTAAATTTCCTCGGAAATGAATTATGGTTCGATTATTTAACATCTCGGCCGACAAATGTTTGAATACCCACACGCAAATGTTCAATCGGAACATAACTCGGGCTTTTCAGTCGTACAAAGTAAAAACATTTTCATTTGAAATAATAGGAATGCTCTGCTCCTCAGTTTGATGGGTTTTGGTGATAACATGAATTATCATGTAAAATAAAAATAATACGGTAAATTTTGTAGATACCACATATTTTTCAATAAAATTGTTGTGGGTAATTATGTGGGTTTTGTCTACTAAAACATATATATTTGTCATAAAACCTGGAAATCAGCAATGATTTAAAAGTGTTAAGATCACTGGTATATTTTTGGTTATTAAAACAATTTAGTGTTGTTTATTTCGTTTAATGAAGGTAATTTTGTTTGTATATTTATTTCAATTTAAAAGTACTATTGCATATAATAGCTTTAACTCCGATCTGTCAGTTTCAACTGCAATATTGGCGCTATGTTTTTGTTATAGTCGCCTAGTCAGTGTTATTCCTTTTTAAACATGAAACATACCATTCATTAAAGAATATCCATTGGACACTGTGAATGCTTTGAATTTAATAATATCAATGTGATGCCCAAGGTGAAAAGGCATCTCTAATATAAACATGTTATTATATAGATACAGCAACAACGAGTTTTTAAAATTGAATACAATATACTGTAATTATTAATTGTTATTATTATTTTTTGCTACTACTAAAGGTAATGAAAAGTAATCACAACGCGGTCCAGTTAGAAATGTTTCTGTGAAGTAAATTTCGCTGTGCTTTTTTTTTCTTCTGAGCCATGTAGAAGTAGGCCTAGCTATGTTTGTCTATAGCCGACCTTAGGCTAAAATTTCTAATCGGGTATGTGCAAAAACGGTACTTATTCTATTTTTGAAAATGTCTATTATTACTGAATAAATTTACTGCATCATATTGACTCGACATATTAAACATACTCTATATCAGAGGGTTGTGGCCAGGATTGGCTTAGGACAGGGCTTCTCAAACTAGGGGTCGCGTAAATATTATTGGTAGTCGCAGAAACATTTGAAAATCTTACTATTTCTTCATGACTAATTGGGTAACTACAGTTTTTTTATCTCTATACAAAAATGTACTCCTTATGGTGCGTATATATTGTAAAATGTCTCAATGGTATTCACTATTCGTTTATGAATTTGCTTTTTTTACGTTTTTGTAATATATTTTCAGTAAATAAAATCTTATTTCTTTATTTTTTCGTAATAAACACCATAAACTTATAATGGATTATAAATACGTTGCAATATTTGACAAATTACATTATTACTAAGACTCGAGATTATTTATTATTGGAAACTCGCAAATTACGTCAGAATGAGTAATAAATTTTATATTACTATAACCGCAACACTTGCAAAAGGGTTGTGTAGCTAAAGAAGGTTAGTAATATATTTCGTTCTCTTCAATTTTAGCTTTAAAAGCAATATTTATTACGTTTTGAAAAAATTTGTTACAGTTTGAATTGAATTTGTAACTTTTTCAAAAACAAAACTTTTCTCTCAGAGCTTTTGGCAACCCTGCTGCCTCAACACGTCCGCGAACGTTTTAGGTTAGTTACATCAGGCGTGTTTGTGTAACGGAAGTGTCTTCGTGATCTTTCAATATTATTTAATTATTAATAGCGATCTTGGTCAAGATATGTACAGTTATTTTAATTTTTTTATTTATGTGAAATCGAAAAGATCTTGTCCATGGATAAGTGGTTAAATTTGTCAAAGGCCGCAGATAATGCTGAAGCTATAGATCTTGCAGTACCAGGATCATCCAGCAGTAATACGAATTTACAGATAGATAAAACTGCAGATATTACGCATTCGCGCGCAGAAAAGAGGAAATATAATCAAACATGTTTGCAATATGGATTTACTTTTATTTCCAGAAATAATGAACACCGATCCGTCTGCTTAATTTGTAATGAATGTTTGGCGAGTGAAAGCCTGAAACCTGCAAAATTAGAAATACATCTTGATACAAGACATGCTTCCTATGCCAATAAGTCTGTAGAGTTTTTTTGAAAGGCTATTAAAATCATCGAATGAACAAAACCAATCTCTTGAAAGGCATGTACTGGTTCATGAAAAGTACTTAAGAGCATCTTGTGAAGCCTCTTACTTAATTGCAAATGCTAACAAACCATACACCGTTGGCGAAGAATTTGTGTTACCAGTGGCAGTTAGAATGAATGAAATTATTCACGGGCAAAAATATGCGGACGAATTAAGAAAAATTCCACTGTCAAATGATACTGTGGGTAGACAAATTTTGGAAATTAGCAATGACCAGTTTGAGCAACTTATTGGAAGAATTAAAGAAAGTTCGAAGTTTGCAATTCAACTGGATGAATGGACTGACATTACAAACATGGCACAACATATGTCAGGTATTGTTACGATAACAGTGTCCACGAAGATTTACTGTTCTCTCGGTCATCAGAAGGACGTACAACGGGTGAGGCAATTTTTCAAGGAAGTAGGGCTAGAATGGAATAACTGTGTTGGAGTATGTACCGACGGTGCAGCGGCAATGACAGGAAGAATAGTTGGATTTCAAGTTAAACTTAAATCTGCAAACAATGAACCTACAACTTTCACTCATTGCATGACTCATCGAGAGACATTATTGGCTAAGAAAATTTCTGCAGATCTGAATATGGTACTACAAGATGCGGTTAAAGTTATCAACTTTATTAAAAGTTGTGCACTTAATAGTCGCCTCTTATTTCAGCACATTTTTACTGCAAACAGAAGTGCGATGGCTGTCAAAGAGACGAGCTTTGAGACGGCTCTTAGAGTTAAAAATGAAGTAATACTATTTCTGCCTGAAATTAACTCTCAGATTTAGCCGATTTTTTTCACAATGAAAATTGGCTGTGCAAATTATGCTATTTGTCAGACGTGTTTGAGAAACTCAACGAACTTAATATGTCTCTGAAATGGGAGAACACGAATATTTTTACACTGAAATCTAAAATTCAAGCGTTCATGAAAAAATTAAACATATGGAAACATAAAGTGGAAAATGACCCATTTGAAATGTTTTCATATACAGAAGATTTTATTGTTGAAAATAAGTTGAGTTTTGATTTGATTAAGCAGATGGTATGCTTGAAAAACCATTTCCGGGAATATTTCCGACCGGAATTAGACTGGATCCAAAAACCATTTATCGTGGAAATGAAGCAGGTGAAACATCTCTCCTTGAAAGCACAGGAAGAACTTGCAGAACTTTCGTGTGATTCAAATCTAAAACTTGGTGTTAAAGTTAAATTTCCAATACTGTCAGAGTTAGAGATGGTAGTTCTTCTGCCATTTGTTACCACCTATTGACGGCAATTAAAACAAAATACCATTCAAGTCTTAAGAACATCGAAATTACTTTAAGACTAGCACTGACGAATATTAAACCACGATTTGAGTTTTGTAACAAAATAAGCAATCACATCCATCCATAAAGGTAATCTTATTTATTATCTTTTTTTTTTTTAGTTTCTTTGGTATTTACTTGTTTCTACGTTTAGTTACTGTTTGATTACGACTAAGGACTATATATATATATACAGTGTTAGTACCTATTGATTTTATGACATTGAGTGAAAGTTCGCGAAAAAATGTGTCTGATTCAAAGGGGTCGCAAGTGAAAAAAGTTTGTGAAGCCCTGGCTTAGGAGTCCATGATTTGAAGATCGTTTCCAAAAAGTATTGAAAAGTTGTGCTAGACACCTGATGTCCAGGAAGTGTAACTTGACGAAGTATATTTAATGTTTGAATTCAGGATATATAAAACAGCAATTCGTTACCAATATTATGAGAGTTGCTTATTTCCTAGTGTTCAAAGTATTTCGTATTACACAGAATATTTAGACATTTTCTAGGTTTTGGACTTACGACAAAAATTGTACGTTGTGATGAAGTGTCCAGGAAAGAATAGATGAAAAGTCTAGATCACAGAAATTATTGTGCGTTGTGATGAAGTGTCCAGGAATCAATAGATGAAAAGTCTAGATCACAGAAGTTATTGTGCGTTGTGATGAAGTGTCCAGGAAAGAATAGATGAAAAGTCTAGATCACAGAAGTTATTGTGCGTGCGCGATAATTCACATGTTGAGAGGTTGAAAGCTAACTGACATCCGGCCTACACTAATTACAAACTTGTTGTTAATCTCCAAACGTCAGATTTACGTATTTTGATAAATTACCTATATTGTTTAAAGCTTATTCGTGTAATATAAAGGTAGTAATTATAGAACATTTTAGTTAAACGTTTGTTTCTTTTCCATAAGCCTAGTACCAAATGTTAGTTGGAAGCTTGTTTTATATTTCAGTTGTGGTATTCTCAGGTAAAACTGATTTCCTCAAAGTGTATTAGGTATGTACGCTATACAACTGGAAGATCGGCATGATATTATTACGAAGTGAGTAAAGAAATAAATAGACTGGACTTGATACCGTTTATTGTATCAAAGACACAAAACATAATATGTGTGTGATTGTTTATAAACGCTGAACACTTTTCACAGAATTCTTGAGTTGATTAGACTGGCTTTTTTCCCTCAAAATGAATTTCTGCTAACCAATTCACTGAATATCCGATACATTTGTTACTTAACAACAAACATGGGATATACCCATAGCTTTTAACGTTACCCTCGTGACTGATCATTCTCATTCAAACAAAGCAGAGGCTTTAACCTCGAGATATCATCTTACCTACCATTGGTAAACACTGACTCTTGATATCCTTACACAACAAGTATCATTAGAGCCATGCCTCTTACAGTCGTTGGTAGAACAGGTGTTACCTCCACAGAATAACAAATGAAAAAATGCGGTTAGAACAAAACGGACTTAACGACTTTCTTGACAACGTCTTATGATAAAACTGGATACTTGGAATAAATTAAAATATCTACATTAAAAAGTAAAGGAATAAAATGCATGGTATGCCTGCATACCACACTGTCACAAAGTAAGTCATTTAAAACAATTATGCAACAAATCGAGATAGATAGTAGTGGTACGTATTAGAATTT